ATTATCAAGAGAGTTTATATTTGGGTAAGCTTTGTTCCAAATTAGGTTACCAACTTTTTTGTGGGCACAACAAACAGCAGATTTAATTAATGAGTTCCTACAAAATGTTACTTGTGTTTTAAATAAAATATTGTTTTAATCTAAATCCATATCTATTATTGACTTTGTCAGCAGAACCAGCCTTTGTATTTTAGGACTGTTATTAAAAGTGGCCACCTAATTAATTTCATTTGATATATTATTTCAATAATTATTTCAAAATATTTTCATTTAAATTTATTTTAAAAAGCTCACAAACCTATGATTGAATTGGAGACCTCAACAATGCTTGCTCTGATGCTCATCAAAGGATTCAAATAAAATAAATGAAAGAAAAAGTAAACTTCTTACCGTGCCACAGGGAGATTCAAAGATGTCATGAGTCCTCACAACATTGGGATGTTTTAATGACTTGATGATTTCTTTTTCGTGAGATAAAAACTTATCCCTGTAGCTAGAATCAAAACTTTTTGTGTCTATAACTTTGATGGCTACTGACCTTCCCAGGTGAGTCGAGTGTGCTTTCACAACTTTGCCAAAGGTGCCTTCTCCAAGTGACTTCTGGAATGTGTACCCATGGAACTCTATGAACATTTTGTTCATTTTGAATAAACCCCAGCAGCTCAGCTTAGACTCATCTCTGGGTTTTAGGCTGTTTTAACAAACAACACATCTACTAATGGTTTATGACTTGGTAACCAGGGACATAACTCCATGGCGTTCATAGAAGCAAACGTTTTGGAATGTTTGCCTAGCAACCAGAGGAAGTGACACTGATAATGGCCCTCAACATTATCAAAATAAAAGAGATGATTCAAGACTTCAGGAGGCACAACCATGACCCTGAACCTCTCATCATACATGTGGAGGGAGAAAAGAGGGTCATCGTGTTCAGAGTTGTAAAGTAACTACCGTATTTATTCATGTATAATACGATCTCATGTATAATATGAGCTTAAAAAGCATAAAAAATGAAATCCTCAAACTTCCTCCAGTTTCATACAGACTTCAAGATTTTTCAGCCTTTGCAGTCTTTATACATATCAGTAAAATGATCATTGAAATGTTCATTTTATTTTAATAACATATTTACTAAAAGGTATTTTGACAACAAATAAATATCAGCTGTAGCAGCATCATATGAATTCTGGGATTTTACACATAGTCCACCAGGATGTGCCAACACAAAAGTCAGAGACGTCACATGAGATTTGGGCCATCTTCAAGCAGATACAAGCAGATTACTTCCGACTCGCGAGCGCCCCMTCTGGTGGGGAAGTATTACTAAATGTTCTACCTGAATGGTTTGCATTCAAATAATAGTTTATTCAAGGTCTATTAAATTCTATTGCTGCTAAACAAATCAACATCAGGTACAGTGTGTCTCAACTGTACCCCGGTGACCATGTTGCACATTTCACTGGATTATGTAATGTTCTTTTATGCCATGATGTTGTGAAATGTGTTGTCTTTTAGGGGACAAGTTTGCATATATTCAAGTTACATCTAAATGTCCTATAAGGGTAATAAGATATTCACTGTAGAAGGGACATGGTAAAGTTAACGTCTTAGCCTGCCAAAAAATATTTTTGTCGATATCTTTGTAGTGGCACTTTTCATAATGTTCAAATTTTCCACTATGAAAGAGGACACTAATGCACGTGTGCACAGCAAAAATCACAACTAAGACTTTCAGCCAACAGAAGATATTGATGGTGTCTCAACTATGCACGTCTCAAATGTACTCAGTCTACCTTATTTTTCAGCGTACTTTTTACCTTTACTCCTTACATTTTTACACAGTTATCTGTACTTTCTACTCCTTACATTTTTACAGTTATCTGTACTTTCTACTCCTTACATTTTTACACAGTTATCTGTACTTTCTACTCTTTACATTGTTTGAAAATGTAAGAAGTAGAAACTATTTTTTCCTTTTTTGTTTCAGCTTGTTAATGTTAAAAAAAGTGCTATCCTAAAAAAAAAGTGCATCCAGTATAGAGTGAATTTAGTTGTAGTTAGATGAGAAGTATACATGTATACCATTCTGATACGGTGATAATTTCTACACAATCCATCACAGCCGCATGTTTTTAGAGAAAAAAAAAACATTTTTTGGAGAGGTCACCTCCCAACGAATGTATTTCGGAAAATCTAACCACTCATTTTTACTCAATACTTTTAATTTTAATAAAAGTATATTTTATATCTGAAATTTACTTTTGATGCTTAAGTACAAAAAAAATCTGATACTTTAAGATTATTGCTCAAGTAATATTCTTAGAGGAGACTTTAACTTTTACCATAGTAATTTTATTATACTTGTACTTTTACTCAATTACCATTTTGAGGTACTTTATACAACACTGACCATGTTCAAGTTTCTCTGCACCATTTCCAGGGACAGCAAAATCCCAGCAGAGACTTCACTTCTCAGGCTGCTCCATAGAAACAAGCTGGACAGAAACCTGCTGGTGACCTTTTGTCGATCATCTCCAGCTGCTCAGCTGCAGACTGGAAGGCCTTTCAGAAAGTTATCAAACCAGCGAAGAAGATCACTGGGTGTCCCCTACCTGTACTCAAAGATGTCTGAATCATGAGAGGTCTCAGTAAAACTAGAAACATAATGAAAAACAAACACATTTAGGAAATTAACTGCTTGTCCTTTTGCTCTTTGGRAGGCAATGTAAGAGTCTAAAATGCAGAACATCAGGATAAAAATWATTTTTTCCCTTGGGCTGTCACAGTTCACCCTGAGTGATCCACAAGCTTTAGCTTTATTGTCTACTATTGTTTTTACATATTTATATTTCATACTCAGTTTTACAATTAAATTAACTCATTGACTTCTCAACAATCACCAAGCTTTTAGGTACACTCATGTTTTTTTTTTAAACCAATCTGTTACTGTTATGGGCATTTATTTTTAAATGTTTTTATTGTTTGTTTTATTCACATTACACACGTCATGAAATGTGTGTTCTGTTACCACATTTATTTTGTGAAAGCACCCTTAAATGTACCACTGATCCAAATTCAATAAAAAATATTAATTATTTCAGGTGATAGACTGAACAGATGTTTGGATTTACCTTTTATTTTATTTTATTTTATTTTATTTTATTTTATTTTATTAAATATGAAGTGTCAAGTATTCACAATACCTTACACTAAAACATTTTTAGCCTAGGCTAATTTGCAATGCCAGTCCCAAGATGGGCTTTCAGAAACAACAAAAAAAAAACCCATTTAAAAATAATTAAAAATTAATAAAATTCATGAAACAGTTTTAAAAACATTTTAAAATCTTTCTGTTGTTTAGGTGTTGACAGCTGCAAATAGACCACATTCATTGATGACCAAAGTGAAGGTAAACAGCAGTCATCAGCTAAACTACCGATGTTGTTTTCTTGCAAAAAATACACTTATTTAATAAAAACTGAACTTAGACATCAAGTGAACGGCACAGTGTTCCTGTAATCCAACACTGTTTTAACCATTTACACACTGGTGTACTTCACCTAAA